ATGAGAAAAATAATGCAAAAAAGGGGGAAATAAACCACATTTTCAAGTCATTAGGAAGAAAGACTTTGACATATGAAGTGTTGCAACCATTAATAGCACTTATCATATAGAGTGGAGACAAAGAGACAAATTAATCAAACTGACAGAACTGGGACATTTTATGCTAATGCAGGCTCCTGGGTTTTCGTTTGTATTCCTCTGTGTCTGGAAAACTGATACCATTACAGGGCAGGAAATTGCATGAATAACATGCAACAGATCATAAAAATTCGCACACCAAGTGCAGAAACACTGCCAAAAGCACTGTAAAAACAAGGCTAGAGACCTCAACAGAGAAGCTACCAACAGCTAATGAATGCAAATAAGTACAGGAATATTTTCCATCCATGCATAACAATGAGACATAGGCTGTGACTCCAGAGTCTCCAATAGTGTAGGTAAAATAAAGCCTGGAGAGCAAACGCGCAGATAGCTGGGGGGAACTGCTGGCCAATCCAGGGTCTGACTTTTGTTTGCAGTATTGCAGCCAGCAGTTTAAAGCCAGTGGGGAACCGGCATAGCTAAGCGTCGCCTCCATCTAAAAGTATCGCTATGTTAGATTTAATTGAACATTTCAGGTAGAAGAGGGAGGGGAGGAGGATGTAAGAGGAAATAAAACAGAGCCACAAAACAGCACATAGTCACACAAACCAAAAATCCCCTTGCCCCTGTGCAAATCCACTGCACACAGTAAAACTCTCACAGATGAAGACATTTAAAACATCATTCCTTTGGGAAATACAGAATGTGCTTGCTGTCCAAAGCCACAGCCGTATTGCAAGGGGCAGGAAATTGCAAGAACTACAGGAATGCAGGGCAGGGCATGGTGTAATGCAGGATCTTGCCAAGGTTCCTTCACTTGCCATAGAGGCTTCTCAGGGACCTTTTAAAACCCCTGGCAAAACAGACCACTGAAACTGCAGAGAGCTCATTAGCCATATAAACTCCAAATGACAAATACCTTCACTTTATGGGCAGTCACAGCATTTCTTATCGCTCTCTGTTTCTTAAAAAAGTGATGCTTCCCCCTTTTATGGTACCTATAGCACAAAGGGAGGACTAACTCTGGGGGATAAAAAGAGTAAAGCCGATGCCTTTTGAAGATGAGTCATTTCCAGCCCTGCTCTCACCTTTCCCGGAATAGAATGATATGCAGCTGATAGGATTGAGCAAGAGCATTTACGTGCCAGTAGTACATGCATAAAGAGGGTGTGGAAATGCGACACTGCTCATGGGTGCCTGCTTTCCTGAAGACCAAGAAGAGTTCAAGTCCTTCCCACATTTGGTGCTGGAAGACCCCATGTTGAGGTTGGTAGGGCAGAAACTGGTTCACCCCAGCAGAGACAGGCATGGGGAGCACACAACACAAAGTCTAGCTCTCCATCCCTCTCCAACAGATCACTGTGGTGGTTTTACACAGTTGTAGCCATGTGAACAGGATTTACCTCTAAACCTCAAAATTTCCTTCTGTTCCTTTGATCACTAGTAGAGTCTCAACAGAGTGCTTGGCATGGTATAAAAAAAAATGGCACACACACACAAAAGCAAGCTAGCCCAAAAGCCTTCCAAAGGCAATGACGGAGTAACCTTTGTTCTAAGGGGAGAAATTAGAAACAGGTACTCGTGAATTCTTGTAAATATACACCCATCTGACAGACGGACAAGGGCTGCAAGCTGCAAATGGAATTACTTTCTCCCTTCCCTTGAATTTAAAAAAAGAACGATAGCACAGAGAATTAGTTACAAAAAAGCCTCATAAAAACCTTGACTTTAAGAAACTGTAGTACTGGGAGGAAAATTATTTGGTCAAATAGTTACTACCATTTTGATTTCTTCTGCTCTTTAAAATAGCAAAGACACCTTCGAAGCCTCTTAAGAATACATATGACACCTGACCTTTTCTTTTCCTCTACCTGCAATCAGAGAAGTTTGGGAAAAGAAAAGCCTAGTTAAAAGAGAATATTTAGAGATGTCTTTACTACCACCTTATCATTCAACCAAGAGGTAGAACACAGTGACAAGAAATGACCATGAATTCTCACAGCCCTTTGGCTATGCAATTACTCTGCAGAAAAGCAATTACAAAACCAAACTGTAACTTCATCAACTAATTCAGATTAAAACTGTATCTGAGAACTAAGAAGAGAGTGCAAGAGTGGATGATGCAAACAGTCTGGGACCCTGAGGCTAGGAATGACTCGAAACCCTCTGAAGAGGAGTTTACGTGTGCAGCACCGGTCTGCCCTACAGAGCTGCCTGCAGAGGTCCAGCACAGCTCCTTCTAGGGTCACCTTGGCTGTGTACACCAGCTGAAGACAGAGGCCAGAAACATGCTCAAATGCTTATCTTTAACAATTTACCTGCATATGCCCTCTTAACTGAGTCTTCCAATTGGAGAGTTCACGCATAATAGTGAAATAAATCCTGTAAGGGAAGGATTAGGCTCATCTTTGAAAAGGAAGCAAAACCAAACCCAGCCTGAGGTAGCCCTTAATGAGCGTTCTTCTTAGTCGTCCAACTGCAAGATACATTGAAGACAGAGAAAGAAGAAAGGGATTTTGTAATTTAAAGGTTTATGCCACTACTGAAAGGAACTCTTTCTGCTTTTTGAATGCTATGATGACTTCGTAAATGCGAACGTATTTCTTTGTAGAATGTCTCAATGCCTATATATGTCCCTTCCTTGGACGATGGTATAGATATTATTTAATCTCAGTGGTTACTGCTTACATAAACTGAGCAAAAATGACAAGGATAGATGGCTCTTACAAAAGACAGGCAACTCTCTGGTTTTTGTGCCTTGCATTTGACAAATTAATTCAGACATTTAAAACACAGCCATTAAAACATGGTTTGATGTGCCCAGTCTCCCGAAAACTAACAAATTCAAGGAATAGACAGAAACTGCTTGATTTGGCTTTATGTCCAAACAAAAATGCCATATGCAGAAATCCATCCAAGGCACAACATGAAAATCTGCAGCCAGATAAAAACAAGGTAAAAAATAAGCTAAATTCAACAGGCAGATGGAATGGCTGGAGACCCATCCACCTGAAGTCCAGCTTCCCCTTTCGGAAGCAGAAATGAGCACTAGTCCTCTATGGAAATCATAAGGGAAGTTGTCAGGTTTTGTCTCTCCCCAGGTTTTTCCTGTCTTAAAAGGTTACTGGCTCTAACACCGTCCTTTGAAAGAAATAGTAAATAACTGGAGCTTATTCTGTTTTTACTTGACCAAGAATCTTCTGACAGGGAAATCTTCTCTGAAGGCTGCCTGTGTATCTGGGGAGAGGTGGCTAGGCATGTTGTACTACTGCTGTGTAGTCAGAGATGGAAAGATATTTTGCTTTCAGAGTTGTTTTAAGACATGTTTCTTACTAGCTGTGGACCCCTGAAACAGAGAACCACAGGTCTGAATTTCAAAGATAAGCAAAAACCCAAGACATTTCTCTACACAGCCAGAAATGTAGTCTGACAGTCTCACAAAAATCCAGGAGAACTTCATCAAAAGTATTTTTTCCAGAAACTAAGAACTGTACTAGTAAAGTTAGCATGGACAATCCTTTTTTTCTTTAAATCTATTTTTTAAACCTTGAAACACTACCACAGACTGCATTCCCACCCATTCTGGGAACAGAGAGTACAAGGTATATACAGAGATAAGGGAATTTGGTCCTATCGCAATTCATAGCAAGCAAATTTCAAGTAGAGTATTACCATGTGTTTGAAGCCCAATACACTGGATGCCTACACCTCTTTAAACTATTACATTGTTTGGGTTCCTTTCTGTGTCAAATCATTTATTTGGATGGTCTTTTTGAATTCTTTTTTACTGCCCCTATAAACCTACCTCAGCCCAGCCTTTGGGAAGTGCATCTGACACCGCAGGAGCAGAAGTAAGCACTGAGAACCCAACAGTGCCCCTGAATCCATCCTGGCTCACACCTGCCAAATCCCTCTGCAATCCTTACAGTAAGTCTGTACACTTCAATTTCTCTAAAGTATAGTTCTGAAATGACGAGCAGCAGTTGCTGCAGGGAATGATGTGGACTAGGTGCAATATATACTCAACTAAATATGGTTACTTCAACACCAAAACAAAGGTGCCCAGTTTTTGAGGTCCTGAAAACCTGAAAACAGCTCCCATTTGCCAAGTCTGATTAGCTCTCTGTGGAAGAGATCAAGTCTTGCTAGGTACCTGCTCGCCTATCATTTGGGACAAATGCCAAAATCTAAAATAATACTTTTCTTATTTTTAACCTTGGTCTGCAACTGCTGTCACTTAAGTAAAAATTCCTAATTAAGCACCCTCAAAGGGCCTCCTGGTGAGGGACAGGAAGTCTATAGCAATTCACAGGCATCTTCTGCTCTGTTCCATGCCTCCAAGTCTACTTTCATCTTGAATGTGGTAGTCTCAGCAGTTGTTGTCAATGGCAGTGCACAGGACCTCAGGACTGTGCAGGGACAACAGGCAGAGGACACAGAGTAAAGCCCATCGGTCACCCAGGACCAATCAGCCACATAAGGCAGCAAGTGGCTCCATCCTACCCTGATCATCTTGAGAAATGCTGCAATTAGTCCAACAATCCCCTCAATGCCTTCTCCACGGTTAAAAGATACAGAGGGAAGAAAATGCGACTGAAACTCTGGTTGAGGACGGATAAGCTGAAGCTCTGGGTCAGGTATACAGGCTGCTCTGGGGCCAGCAGCTGTGCCAGCTGTGGGTCAGTCTGTTCATCTCCTTTGAGGTAATGTGAACCAGAGCATTTAGAGAGAGGTAAACATTGCTGAGGGGTTCACACAAGGTGATTTAATCATCAGCGACCTGATGCACAGATCTGTGCTGTAATTCCCATCTGACGCATCAACTTCCACCCCAGCATTTGCAGAGAGGTGATGACAGTATTTTATTTGTTCACAAGAGACCTCAGAAATCTACTGCTGAAGGTTTTATGTTACCATTATTTGACTCCAGAGCTGATACCTCTCAATTCCAGCTGTTTGGTGACACTTTGTTTATATATATTGGTTTTACTGGAAGTGCTAGTATTGCAGTTTTCTGCTCTCCTCAGTCCAGCTATGGTTATTTTGACTGCGGACCCCCAGCTAGCAGCAGGGTGCCATTTCAATTAGGAATTAAACTTCTCTTCACCACATAGTCTTCTGAAGGCTTCTAAATTAAAAAAAAAAAAAAAAGAAGAAAATATTTCAACTACTTCTGTGTGTGGGAAACAGACAGTTACAGTTAACTGCACACTTTGATGCCATCAACTCTTATAAAGTTAGACTAAACTAAGTGAGAGACAGAAAGGTTTATTAGCAAATCCAATCTATGTTATCTTAGGATATTAAATTCCACTCAACTACACCTGTACTGTGCACCAAATTTCTTAAAAGGGTGTCTGAACTTTGTCCCTCTCAAAGGCCATTTGGCTTACAGTTATGAAACAATGTGCAGTCATACACATCACCGATCAGTCTGTTGATAAAAACACATGCCAAATTTTTCAGTTGATTTTAATCTGGCTTCAAAACAACTGCCACTGGCTCTCATATCTTTCTCCAGTAAATTACAACATGCTTCCTAGAGATATGTCTGATACTTTCTTTTCATTTAAGTCTTTAAACAACCACACAAACCCCCTCTTAAGCTCTTTCAGAGAAATTAAAACTCGTTTTTAAACCAAACCACATCTGGACTAGACAGATCTGTAGTTTGATCAACCACAGCTGCCCCTATTTATTTATTTTATTAAAGTAAATAAAATGCCCAAGGAATAAGCTTTTAGTAGTGTTAGAGTGTACTGGGACTTAGAGGTATTTGCTGTCTGTCTCTCATCAAAGTGGGACAGATGAAAATTCATCACAGCACAAAAATCCTGGAATAAACCACCCATTTTGCTCTTCAGAGTTCGCATCAAATGTAACAGAAAGCATGTGTCTACTTGTTCCTCTAAAAAACCCAAGAGCCTGCCTGTAAAATTCACAAAGAGCATCTAACTCCCAAATCCTAGTATCATTCAATTGCCTTTTGCTCACCTAAAACCTGTATTTCACTTCCAAATTGAACCATATTTCCTAGCCTTAATGTTTGTTGACTGCTGCAATGCATCATTTGAATACATAGCATATTCCACCCCATAACATGCTCAATTTCACTAGTAGCTGAGAAAAACAGTCAGTCTGACATTATTCACCAGGGAATCCTTGTCAGAAAGTGCTGCATGAAGATAAAATCTTATTTTCTTTGGGTTTTGGGAACACTAATAAAACAAAGCTAGGTACTGGGATGAGAAAGTACCTTACAAGTTGTGGTGTCTGATGTGCTGAAGCTGACGGGTGTCTTAACTGGGCCTTATCTGTCTGTTTAGTCAAATGGCAAATGCTCAGCCTGTATTTCTGGACTCTTAAAAGAGCAGATACCTAGTTTGCAGTCATTAAAGAAATTCAAAGAATTTTTTAGAGGGAGAAAAAGCAAAGGTAAGAGAATCATTAGTGGAGGGGGAGGAGAGGGGGAGATATTTCAGTCTTCGGGGCCAGAATGCTCATGGTGCTAAGACACAGTCATGCCTCAGCCATTTCATTTTCATTCATGCCCACATACATATTTGAATAAAAAAAAAATAAATTAAAAAGCCCCAAACAAAAATAACCCACCTTGTGTTGCACATCCTTATTGCTTCTGCTGATGCCATTAGCATAGTTCACCTGTAGGACTTACTCATCAGGACATCTCTTACATTTTAGATTATGTTTGTTATGTCTGACTATGAACGTTTCCACACTGCAAACTGCCTTTTCAATAGCGAGTGCAATCACAGCCAATCAGCCCAATTTAGCAGTAGCAGCAGGCAGGAGTCTAACAAAGGCAACGAAATTGAGTCCACTTATTGCAGTGGAGAATTTTATTCTGCGCATTCATCTCTGTATCCCCTTTGACAGTACATTTTTATATGCCTACTCGAATAAATAAATAAACTGTACAGCTACTGTCAAAGGGAGGCAAAAGAGCTATTGCAAGATTTTCTCTCCTCAACATGCATGTATGCATGACTTTTGTTTTGCTTTTTTAAGCCTAGATCTCACCATAACATAGATGTATTTTGCTTTTCTCCACTGGTGAAGATCAGAGAATGTTATGAATAGCAAGACAGCCCTCATCAGAAAATAATGGAAGTTACACCATATGGAATGAAAAGTATGTGGCTAGGTTCTTCATCATATGTGAGGCATGAAAAATCAGGCGGTGCTTTTGCAGTGATACATGGATGGAATTTCATATCACATCCTGAAGATTTCATTTCTGTTTTATTGCTCACCTTCTAGAAACAATGTATGTCGTTGTACTGTGCTACATAAGCAACACACATAAAACGACATCCATTTCTGCCTCACGATTTCTCCTGAATTAGTGTTCTGTCAAGTAAGACCTCAGAGTACCCAAATGCTCAGTTGTACTCTCACTACAGAGCTGCAGCCTCCAGTCATCCTTCTTTGCAGTCAGTGTCAGCACTGTGAACCAACACGAAAATAACACAATCCCTAGGAGGAATTTAGAAAACCAAAGACCCAACCGTCTATCCATATGGACTCCTTGAAGTGGCACAGCTGCAGTAATGTTGGGGCATAAATGAACTTGAAGCCGGACTTTACTAGAAACCTCATGGATATAACCCTTCGCCACTACAAAAAGCTCCACAGATGAAGGGAATGGTGGCTTTCAGAAAGGCTTTCAGGTTCCTGCCACCTCCTGAGCCAAAGCAGAAATAATTCTGTCCAGTGCTGCAATTCCTGTGAGGAACATCCATGGCCAATAGTCGTGTAAAGAGAAAACCACATTAAAGCTTCCCATTCTCTAAGAACCTTAGCTACTCCTAATATATCTCTGTGGTGCCAACGAAAAAGGGTCTTATGTTGTTCCCTACTGCATAATAACATCCTACAACTGAGAAAAAAACTTCTTGCCCTCTTACTCCTCTTTCCCACATTTATCACCTTTTCCACTCTATGCTCCTGTGCAGAGCACTCCCAGCTCAGTCCCTGCATTCCTTAAAGATACTGTATTTATACATATAAAGAATACACAGAAAGGAAAGATTCGAAGTAAGAGAATACTGTTTATTTCTACAGAGATAAAAAGGAATAGTAATTGCCTTTAGCCAGCAGGGTATGTAACAGTTGACCTCCTGTATCCTGTCTTTGATTTTCTCCTCATTGCAATCATCTTTTGTTGGCTAATTCCCAGCATTTTTCCCTCAGGCTGGCAGGTTGGCATGGATGGTTAGCAGCTGCCAGTATTTCTCCTCCTCGTCAGCTATGAGCCATGCTAATGTTAGATGCCTGGCTCAGTCCCACCCAGGGTGCCACATGCCTTCGCTTTCCAACATACTCAGCTTTTGCCAGCCTTGAATACGAATTGAGGTCCTCTCCTGCCCTTCTCCTTGCAAGGATTAACCAACCATGTGAGGGAGTTAACCCATGCCAACCGAAGAAGCAGATGACAAATTTCACAGGGGAAATTTCACAGGTAAATTTCACCTTGCGGGGAAATATCAGGTTTCACAGCAGTCATCAGGGAGCAGTAAAGGACGTGGAAAAAGTCAGCCTGTGGTGTGTGTTTACATCTACTCTGAACACCATTCTCTTAATAGTAAAAAGAGCTGTGTGGATAAACAAAAAAGCTCCTCAAGCACATCCCACATTCTCTTCCCAAGAAGAGATGCTGCTTCCCTTTGTCTGTTGGAAGAGACAATTCAGTTTAATCCTTTTGAAAGGCAATATTTCTAGCAGATAGTTCATTGCACTAAAAAAAGTTACCACTCTTTGAAACAGACTCAAGAAATTCGAGGGCTACAGGTAAAACTAATAAAGCTACTCCAGAAGCAAGTTTCTAAAATAGCAGAAAGGCTGGTATTAGGCATGGGCTAAAGAAAGCTTGGTCTGCTGCTTCAGAAGATTTGTGTTTAACTTCACCAGAGAGAAAGGCATTTGGTACTGTCATGGCTGCAATGACCAGGTGAAGTTTTTTTTCAAGTGCAAACCCCCAGGTCAAAAAAATGCAAGCAAGGTTGAGAATCTCATTTCTAACCTGTAGGAATCTAATGCCACTGAGGGGTTTTACTTGTTCTTGCTGTTTCTGCTTCTGTCTTTTCACCAAGTAACTGCAATCTCAGCTTTCAGAAAACCAAGTGATGCTCCTCTGTCCAGTGCCCGGCTTTCGGCTTGCCCATGCAGACTCGCTGTGCACTCCTATTAGCAGAGTCAGTCAGGTAATAATAGCAAATAAAAAGCCTATTCGACAAAGCACTGGCTCCTTCTCAAGTAGAGTACCACTACAGCATGAATGACTCAATCATCTACTCAAGAGCTATTACTTGCAGCGATGAAGCAATGTTAATTGGATAACGGCCTGCTGCCAGCTAATATTGGCATGACCTACAATACCCCTGGCTGACAGCCGTGTCTCTCTCTCTATCACACCTTTTTTTGTAATCTGGATGGGAAATGGAAACCATTAAAAAAGCCTCATAAGTGCCATTTAACTTCTTATCATAAATTAAAAACTTAATTAAGTGCCTTGTTAGAGGAAGGAAGACCAGTTTTCGTGATTAAATAAAACAAAACAACAGTTAGGGGTATGGAGTGAATAACCTACTTTACAGCTTTAAACTCAGTGTTTTTAAAGTTTGAATTTTGGGTTGTGTTTAACAGCACTTGCTAGAGGAAAACTGCATAAACACTAAAAAATACCCTGAGTGAAAAGCAGGTTCTAGTTGTTTAGCAAAATTGCAGATGAAAAGCATAGAAGTCAAGAGCTAATGGGGTCCTTTTTTATTAGCTGTAGGCAGCTGACACTCCATTCCTGTAACTTGCAGTGAGGGCTGATAGTTCACACACGACAGCCACATTTGCGCCCTTATTATGCAGCTGTTTTTCCAAGCGCTTGTCTACACACTGAAATGCATTATTTTACAAAAGGTGTGGTACAAAATCAAATTACCATGGCTAGCACTAAAGAGTTTATGGAAACTCTCCAGTCAGTGCAGAATTAGCTCCATACTGACTTAGTTTAAGTTGATTAGGTAAAGGTTTAAACGGAGGCACATTAAGTCACACTTGAACTGACCTGAAATGTCTAACACAAAGTTTTGCAGAGGGTTTAAAATCCTCTAAATTCAACTATAGTCCCAATTCTGTGTGTGCACAATGTCTCCCTACTGAAATGACTGGCGTATCATAAAGACTGCTCTCACTTGTAATTGGATATAAACAAGAAATAATGTAAAGAACATCTGTTCGCTGTTTAGCTAGACAACAGTTAACAATCTTGGGATGCCAGATTAACAAAAAGACCCCAACATGCTATGAAGGAAAAAAAGTCTGCAGTTTAGACTTCAGAGGTAGATTTACTGCTTTGAATAATCAGAAATAAGTTCTTTTGTTTTGATGTTAAGCTCCCTCTCACCAACAAAACATGAATTTAAAGCTACACATATAAAGCTTTATCCAGCTCCAACATCAAATCTTTGAAAAATAAGAATAATGATGGCCTTTCTCCACAACATACTTCAGCAGTTTTCAAACCATGCCAGAATTTAAAATGCAATGGTTGACTTAAAAGTAGCTTAGTGAATTTATGAATGATTGTCACCTTTGGAAAAGTTTTGAACAATGAAGACTATATTTAAGAATTATTTTCAATCTCCACTTTTCTATAATATTATATGCCAACATAAAATGTCTCTCATCATGAAAAAAGGATTTGCTCAGGACACTCACTTTCAACTTCTGTTTGAAATCTTTCGATTGGAATAATAACCCCCTATATGACAGAGTAAATCAGTTTCTGCATATACCTCTAGAAATAACTCACAGGCTGCCAGAGCTCTGCAGACCATGGACTGAAAACAGTAGCCTTGGGAAGAGTCGTTAGCTAACCGAAAAAAAACCCCTGCTAACTTCTTTAAATGCCATATAACTAAGAGAGTGTTTCCTCTGCTTTATCAGCTCTTAAAAACCAGGAGTGTTTCAGTTCCTCTCATGGGGAGCTCTGACACTGTTGGAGGCACTTCCCTCACCTAAGCACAGGCACCTACCAAAGCGCAGCACTCTGAAGGTGAGCAACACCAGAAACAGAGACATGCACCTTAACCAAGGAATAATTGAAAAATAACAAAATGCATCAGGCAGCTCTCCTTATCCCAAATGACTAGCATTTGTGAGGAAATTATTTAACTGACAACCTCACATACAGTTATTCAAATAAAGTAGCCACCAAGCAAATTAAGATTCAATGCATTTAACAGCAATTAATTTGCATATTCTTTTCCAGGATGAGAAAGTTAAAAGCACATGGCAAAGTAACAGTGGTGGTCTTAGTTGAGGCATGACAATTTCAAGATTCTGGGAAAAACCTTAAGAACTAGATTCACTCCTTCTGCAACTCCACAAACTTTACTGGAGCTGTAACAGCAGCCAGTGTAACCCTAAGTCACTAAAACTTTTTGATCTTTCATTGAGATACATTCCAAAACGTAAAACTACAATACTCATTCACTTAAATAGAAATAATTTAAGGCTGGACTGGAGGATTTTTTTCTTACATAGCATCTTATATAAAACACATAAACAAACCACTGTATTTTAAATCCTTACTGTTATACGAACTGGGTCACCAAGTGCAGACACATCATGACCCCTCCACCACCCTTCTCCTCCCTCTGGCCTGAATCTCAGCACCTCACCACTGCTGGGATTAAAAATCTTCTAATTTCCAATCTATTTTTACTAAAAGCCAGTTGAAACCAATTAATGTTTGTGTCAACAGTGTCCTTTAGTATTAAAGAAAAACTCCTCCTCTCAGCTGTTTCAGCTGGTCTGCCTACACAGTAGCAGGTCTTAGTTGTCACAACAGCAGTATGAACCTGCAATAGTCCTTTCTACTCCTCCTTCAGGCCAGGCTCATTCATCTGAATATCTCAGTCACTCTTGTACATGCTTAATTGAATTTGAACTATTTTTCTTTATCTAACAGGACCTGAATTATACAAGGAGTCTTCACAAAGGTTTTGTAGAAGAGCATTGATAGTCTCCTGCCCCTTCATACCTGTGCACCCTTGGACATGTTTTGTCACCTCTCTACTCCTACCCTTGCTTTGTGGTGAGAAAGCTATGAGATACTGACTGAGACTCAATTCTTCCATTGGAAATTATTAGTGGACACTGTAGAATCATAGTGTGCATCCTATCATGTCCTTTGTGATATCTCTAAACTCCTATGCAAAATGTCTGGGTTGAAATGTCTTCATGAGTAATATTCAGTGTCAAGACTCATGAAGTCACAGCCGGTGACCTACTTCTAATCCTCTCCAACTTATGCCATGACAACATCACGATGCTGCTGAAGTCTCTGGAGAACTAAACCAGAGGGGAAAACCGATGTGTGACACTTTGGGACCTGTCATCATTTAAAAACACACCATGCCTCTTCATGGGCATTAAGCAACTGATGGTGAAAAACCCTCTGTATGCCAAAGCACTTACCCACTGAGTGACTGCTGTGCTGTGCCCTGGGTACATCATCACCCTTCTCATGCCACCCCTCCCAGCTGGAGACACCGGGCAGGCACTGCTGAGGCAGTGGGTGATGGCAGCTCTGGCCAGCAGGCACACACCTCCCCTCTGCAGGCAGCAAAGCCACCGGCGTGTCCTACGGTAGCTGTGCTGTCACGCCTGTATGGCTGTGAGGAAATTACAGTGGGGGTGGAAGCCAGTCAGTGAGATTTTGTGGTAAAATAAAGTAAACTTTCCAGTGAGGTATGTATTTTCTATGTCCCTTGGCTTCCTGCTGTGGGAGCCATGCTGCATGAGAAAAACTCCGCTTTCTGACAGACTGCGTTCATGGTTTCTTGGTGGAAAACACAAGGCCTGAAGCAGTTAAATCCCAGATTCTTTATGAGGGGAGGTGACAGGAAGCAAGGCTGGATGAGGTGCAGGAGAAGGGAAATAGGAGGATGAAGATATGAGCTGCTGGAGAGGAGTGGACAGCAATGAGACTCCCAACAACGTGACAGCTCAAATGATTTTTCAGCAATAACCTGTGGTGTAGCAGCCACATTACTCCTATCAAATTTCCTGTCTGGAAGAGCAGAAGAATATCAGGGTCCTAATAACACCCTGAATGAGGCTGCGGTAATTATGCATTTGGGTACAACTCCCTTGGTGACAGTGACAAAGGTGAACTGAAGCATCTTAAAGCTCTGCCACCACAATCTTTAGGAGTTACCGCTAGTGAGGAAGGCTGGCATAGTGTGAACACGTCCATCCTTCAGCAATCTGCAACCCACCCAAACACAAAAAGCACATCCTGCGGGGCAGGCAGTGACACCTGTGCCCCACTCCCTTCAGCCACCTTAGCAGACCTCAGAGGTCTTCCACACCACATGGGAAAGAGGGGGCTGATTTTTATGGTGGGGGCACGGTGACATACTGTACCTCTTCCGGCAGGCTGACCACCAGGTCATTTTCCGTCTGCCCTACCAAGGCCTGCAAGAAGTACTCGCTGCAGGCAGCCAGCACAGCCCGGTGGGCGCGGAACTCCTTCCCCTCCACGATCAGCGTCACGTCACAGAGAATGTCCTGCTTCCGCTGGTCATTTAAGCAGAGGAGAATATTGGTACAGTGCACCGTTGACTCATACACATACATGGGGGAGTCAGTCTTCTCATCCACAGACATGCCGTTCACACCCTGCAGGGGACAAGGGAGAAGAAAACACAAACAAGGTGATGAGGAGCAACACAGTCGGTGGGTGAATGTGGTATGGTGAGATGCTGCCTGATATCTGGATAGCTCAGGACCAATGGCCAAGCAGCCCATTAATATTTAAATCCGAAAAAGTTGCTAGGGAAAGATATTGGGAAGGGTATTTGATACCACCAGATTTCACCTTGCCATGCTTCCATTACCTACTCACCCTCCCAGACTTCCCCTCTCAAAACCAAAATAGATAGTTTAGACAGACTGCAAAGTACTTTCCCATTCAACCACCTGCTATGCATCTCCAATTTCCAATTTAGTAGAGGCAATAACATGGGCACATTGGAAATTTTAGAAGATTTTAGAAAAAAAAGCAAGAGTGCCTTTCGGGTCTTCTAATAGTGAAAAAAAAGGCTTCGTTCTTGCTTCCAGTATTTCCAGATTAAAGGGGAAAAACCCTCGAAACCCCCTCAAAACCCCAGTCTACTCTCCAGTGGACAGACACATTTACACTGAAGACCTAGGTTCAAGTGAAAGGCAAGGTGGAACTGCACCCAATGAAGACAAGCTGTTAACTACAGTGACTTAATTTCTCAATCAGAATTTTAAGCCTTAAGGGGAAGAGAAAAATGTTTAGTGGCTCCAGAAGAAATCTATTTCCATACATGGCTAAAGCAATGTACCTTCACCAGTGATTTAATGCCATTTACAGAAACGTAAATGTTTCTGAACTCCAGAACCACAGACCCAAGAAAATCCCTTGACTTGTATTTACTAGACTTCTCAACGATAACTCCATCTTCCTACCTTTATAGGAGTATTTTTAAACCAGTGGCTATGATGACTCTTTCTACAAAATTTTTGCCAACAGTACAAAACTGCAATATTACTGGAAGTCTTAATGGAATGCTTACAGCTTCTCTTTTACTGGTATTTTCAATCTTCATGCTGACTCATGCTACACTTTTGAGTACTCAGCTGAAATGCTTACATGAACAGAAAAAAACCACAACCAACCAACACAGACTAGCCCTTCACCTCCTTAACATCTAGAGAGAAAATACATAGCTGCTTATTGATCTGTATACAGGCAGGGGAGGGAGACACTTGAGGGGGGTTATACCAGTTGGATTTCTTAACCAGAAAAAGATTATTTTTTTCTCTCCTCATCAATTGAGACTAATGAGAAGAATTAACAATCATGTTATTAGCACTCCAGTAAGGTAAAAGACAAAATGACACTTAGCTCATCTCACCCACAGCTTTCTGTATAACTGAACTGATGCTAATGATAGTGTTATAATTATGTTCTAAGTGGTCACTCTTGCGTGCTATGAAATGCAAGAATTTACAAGAACAATCTAGTGGGAAAGCCTGAGAGCTGCAAATGACAATGCAAAGGGGAAAGCAGTAAGCTTTTTTTCCCTTTTATTTTCCAGGCATTTCTTATGCCTGTAATATCTCAGATGAAAAGAAAGGACAAGAAATCTGAAACCTGGCAAATAATGAACAGAATATCAATTATATTCTCAATCCCTTAAAAAAAACCCCACGAAAACCCACTGTTAGCCTGAAATTGCAATCTTTTCTTACAGTAATAGTGTAATTTGTGTGAATCAAACCCCGAATTACTTGGTTACTAATTAGTAATTTCCCACTTTTTAACTACAGCTCTCATCAAGTGTATTTTTTAAAAAAATCTGCTGCATGCACAGCAAAGTGCTGAAAATACTATGGTGTGTTTCCCCTCTGTGAGCAAGCCTGCCTTCTGTGTTAAAACTCTGACCAATGCGGTCCTGAGATGCTGGAGCAGTGACCTGCACCATCCGCTCCAGCAGATCTCTAGCCACCCTCCTGGGAAGGACCTCCACCCAGTTGCTCCTATCACTGCTCTTTCCCAAGGCTACTGTTGTGACTCTGGAAGCTTCCCGAGGGTGGATCCACACCGTGCCCCTTCCCACAGCCACTGAGAGTCCATGTGGATGCCCTGGCTGGTTGCAATCTCAGCCTGACACAGACTTCCCCCTGGCCGTGCCCCTGGCCGCTCCAGGAAGCACCCTGAGCCCTGCATTGCGCACAGGGAAACTGGGGCTGGGCTACAGCTCAGGACCACCTATTTATCAGCTTTTAATGTTTCAACACAAGCGATTTACCGTCTTTCCTTTTCCACGATCTGCCATCGACTAAATGACCTCCAGACATGAGGTGTTTCCTCTCCAAGAGGGCTTTATCCTGCAGGAAAGGTGTAAGATGATGAAACCCTTCACTGGGAAGTATATTGTTCGTTTTCACAGGAAAATAGTTTAGAGGGCAAAGAGGAAAGGTCACTGTAGGACTTTGGCACGAAGTAGCACAAAAATTAACAGAATTCAACTTTTTTCCCCTCTCTCCTCAGAGTTAAAAAAGCAGGGATCTGGTATTATCTCTGAACTCTGAAGCAAGCTGGCTGCAAGCCTTTTACACAGTGTTAATTAAACTGCATCATTTTTTGCTGAATTCAGTATTATGCTGAGTTTGCAGAACCTTCTTCATGGAAATCATTGCTACACACTTGGTATTTCTTCGAACAGAAGAGAGAATGCCTTAGCAAGCCTTTCTCTGGCTCAAAAGAACACGCTGTGCATTTGTTTGCATATAGGTCACCATGCTGCCAGAAAAAGCGTCTTTGAAACAAAAGTTTCCAGAAACTGGCACAAACTATTGTGGGCAAGGAAAGCACCATTGAGACCTAGCCAAAACAGGTTGCTGGTAAAGGCCAGCAACTGCAGTGAAGGGAACTGGAACGCTGCTTACACTTTCCTTCCATGGTGATGGGTGGAAGATCCCACTGAGCCCTTTGGCATGGGCAGCATGGAGGAGGCATATGAAACCTCAGGAGATGAAAAATGTTGCTCACGGAACATCTGAAACACTCTGGTTTGCAGTACGCTGTCTGTACTGTCTGGCGCTCACCCAAAACTCTCCAGGAACTCATAAATGCACTGACTGAGCTGCTACCAAAAATACATTACCTATCACAAAAAACCAGCTCCTGCCTCCCAAGACTGGAGCACAGGCAATGTGGTGCCTGTTTTTAAAGGGAAATATGAGGGGAGAGAAAATCTTATCAAGACAGACCAGAAAGTCCTGCAACAGAACTGGGCTAATTACGTGAAAAGGTAAATCTTGATTGTGGCAGAATTACAGAGCACTTAACCAGGGAAATTATCACTGTGACAAAGCAGCATGGCTTCTGCAAGGGAAAGTCATGTTTCTGATGGGCTCTATTAGAATTCCTGAAGTGTGTCAAATTAGTAGTGAGGAACACTGGTACACGTAATTAGTGTTGACTTTCAGAAATCCTTTGACAAAACCTTTACAAATGCCTGTTAGAGAAACTCAGTTGTCATAAGATGAGAAGTTGCATCAGTCTGGAAACCACTTAGGATAAACTGTATTCAACAGAGGAGGGACATGGGCTATTTGGGCTATTTTCAACAGGTTAACAGTGAAATTTCTCCAGAAACTGGCCCACATCTGCCTATGGTCATGCTGTGCAACATGCCTGAGCTCCTCTGATCCACAGGAGGGTTGGCCACACTTAGTACCAGGTCCTTTCCAGGACATGTGTCTGGATGTCCTAACAGAAGCCTGCCACTCCTACAGCAAAGCCATCGATAAGATGGAGCCAGACACTGGGAGCAATTTGAAACAACAGAGGTTTAGACTGGACATAAGTAAAAACCGAGGAACAGGTTGTCTGGAGAGGCTGTCATCTCCATCCTTAGAGATTTGCAAGATCACACTGAATATAGTGCTGAGCAATCTGCTCTGATCTCAGAGCTGACCTGCTTTGAGCAGGAAGTTGAGCTAGGTATCTCCTCAAGTCCTTTCCAAAAGAAACTATCTGATGATCCTACACTGATTAGTGACCTAGAAGTTCAAAGACCATGTCAGAGAGACTGAAATTGATAAAATTATTTCAAATGTCAAAGGTAATAGGGATCATTGGGAATTTAAAAAAGACTAAATATAAAAAAGAATTATAGAGTGGTTGAGGTTGGAGGAGTTCAGCCTCCCCACTCAAAGCAACAGGACTGTATGCAGAAGGGTTTTGAGTCTCTTCAAAGGTGGAGACCCCACGTCACCTCTGGAAAACCTGTTGCAGTGTTTGACCACCATCACATTAAACCACAGACTCACTGACCTGGAATCTCAATTCCAATTTGGAGTCTCTCACAAAAAAGACAGACTGGAGACAGGCAGACTGTCATCACCTAGAGGAGATTTTAGAAAGACAGAAATATTCTAATAAGGAGATGTATTTTCTAGTTACTTCTTGTGCAGTACACTGTTGTGTAGCATCTGGATCTGATTACTGATGTTGAAACAAGGAGAAAAGAAATCCTCAGAAGAACAATGAAAAAGATCATTGTCAAGGAAAGAGAAAAAGCCCTTCTCAATGTGCATGATCAATTCAACAGACACTATACAAATAATACAAAATAAAAAGGTCAAAGCAGCACTGCTATTTATTGTTTCTAGTGTTGCAAACAGGAGAGGGCACACAAGTAAAAGAAGCAAGACAAATGCAGAGTTTCTAAAAAAGAAGAGCTGTGATTCCTGACCATTGAAATGAACTGAAATTGTACCGTGTACTCATAGCAAGATGCTTGTTTTGTTTTCCATGAGAGATTTCACAGTCACTGCAATAAACCATATGTACAACTGCATGTTACTCACCACATACGTAAAAGGATTAGTTACTCCTAACAAAAATATTCAGCGGCACATTACTGAGAGTACAAGGGTACACAGATGAAGGGTACATGGGATATTTACATGCTCCAGCATACTGTCCAACAACAAATGTGCCTCTATTATCCATCTTTCCTGACCTAGTAACTACTGTGTCAGAAACAAATTATTTAATGGATGTCAACACACATGAAAACCCAAATCTGTTACCTCCACACATGCCTCCTAGACCTCCTCGCCCCCTCCATCCCCGGCTTCAGGAGACAGCGATGGGCATGCTGCCCACAGCTTCCCTCTCTCCAACAGGAACTGAAGTTGCATGGGACCAAGTTGTTGAAGGCAAGCAATAGAAAATATCTGTCCGAAGATTACACGTGGTGGGTGTCACTGACACCAGGGGTTCCTGCTCCCACTGGCTCCAGAAGAGCAGTCAGTTTAAGACACGAAAAGCCACACAACATTAACTCATAAAAGGTGCATTAACTGCAGCAGAAGCATCTTTGTAGTCTATCCATGGCAAAACACCAGCAAGGAAGGGGACGGGGGAAAAAAGGGACCTAAAGGCATCATCTTATCCCATGAAACAAAAGCTCACTTGCATCCTAGGAGGTATAAACAGGACATTAGATCTATAATAACACACAGAGGACTCCCAACAACTTCACAGCAAAGGTCTGAGAAGGCTTATCAGTATCTCCTCATTATGCCTGTAATGTTACATTTTAGTACAGAAGCCAACAAATAACTGTGATTCCTCATTTAAGAATTGCAGTAACTGACCTGGTGTGAAATGAACCACAGGTTTTGCTTGGAAGCATAAGCTGGAGATCAAATTATATTCTGCTATGTAAGGTGACTCCTGGCTTTCTCCTGATTGTGTTAAGAGAGGACAAATACTGAACTGGGTGTATTTCTAGTTCCAGTTCACATTCTCCCAGTCAGCTCCACTAACAGTAAAAGAAGGAATCTTAGGAATAGTTTGAAGTGGCTATCTTGAACGCATCTAAGGCTCTTTGGTCAGAAGTAGCTGGAATCTGCACTACAGATTTGCACGTAAACATCTCACAGTATTCCTGTTCAATAGGATGCAGAGTGTGTGAAAAAATGGTCTTTTGTTCTGACATTTTCTATTATTTTTTCCCCCTAACAATTTAGCAAAAGATATTCAGAAAAAAATGGGGAGAATGACGATAAAATAATGAAAAAAGTTGAAAGCAACTTTACTTCTGAAAAATGGCAGCAAAAGCACATCAGACTTGACAGTTTTTAGGGATAAACATGCACTGTTTTTAAGTGGCAAGTGGGAGGAAAATAATTTTCCAGGCTTCCTTCCCCATCTCCTAATAGTTTTTCTACGAAAAGACTCATTCTGTGTAATCAACACTTTGTTTTTAAAGAAAGTTATCAATAACTGACACTTCAGAGCTTCTAAAATGACCATCCTTATAATTGGTTATTACGATCTCTCAATTATAGCTATAACAACAAAGCATATGATTATATTGTCACTGCTTTCCTTTAAAAAGAAACTATTGAAAGGCCTAATGATTAATTCACCATTTTTGAGAGCTCATTGTAATGACAGAAGACTATATACAAAGGTCTCTTCAGTGAGCCCATTATTCAATTAATAAATGCTGAATACTGAGCAGTCATAGTCATATGAAACTCCCAAGAATTGTGTGAATTTTTAACCAATTAATTATCAATTACAACATCATAAAACACTAGCACAAAAATAGAAACAACGAAATTTAATTATAGATTATTCTTCTTAGTTGCTGCAAATACCATACAAGACTGATTTTGATTAATAATTCATACAGCAATAAAGTATCAGGAAAGATAATTATACTGTGCCACAATTCTCACACTGATTTCTGTAATTACAGATTACAACAGTGTTAGCAATTTAAAAAGGTTAGGGAGCAGTAGTAATTTGCTATGTCATCCTCAGAAATATTAATGTCTTCTTCTCTGAGCACCCCAGATAATTGAAAATAGACTACTGAGCTGCCAGGCTACACGGACTTGCCTCCTGCCAAACATACTGTGGGTGCCAGGGCCATTAGCAAGATTGTCTTAAGAAATGAGCTTTTCACATTGTACAAGTAACTTCTGCTGTAAAGCACAAGGTACATGGACAAGTGGAAAAGACACTGTAGAGCATTCCTGGCTGGCAGCTGTAGACATGTGCTGCTGCTGATAGTGATGGCTAGTCCTTCTGACCCTACTGCATGAAACACAACCTTCACTTGACCATGAGTGGCAAGGGGGATAGCTAAAAGAAACCCAAGGGAGGATTTAGCCACAGGCCTTCTGGAGAGGCAGGTCTGGTTGGGCACACAGCAGGGCCCAACAGACATCTGCTAACATCTCCTAAAGGCAAGAATTCCCATTGCTGAGGAGGCTGCATGGCTCCAAGACATTAAGCGTCCACAGCCCAGGGAACACCCTCAGAATTGCTGAACAGCTGCACGTGGACAAAGGGCCAC